CCATTTCTGTTGCGGTGAGAATTAGATATCAAGTTATTGATTAACTTGAAGCTCAATTTATTGAAATTCATCACCGAGATTTAATTTATCCAAAGAAAAGGTTAAAGAAAGAAAAACATTTTGTGCGATGTAACAACAACGCTAGAGTTTTAGGGATCGGGGATTGGTTATGCCTAGGGTAGTTATTCACATCCTAAACATATGTAGTACTCTACAGGAACCTTTTGTGTGTATGTATGCTAAATTATCTAAGGTTTTATTTGCTATGGTTTATGGGATCAAGATTAAGGTAAAGTTGAGGTAAATACCTAAGGATAGTTCTAAGTTTGCTCACAAAGATATCGCATCTTATGCCTACGTATCCTTACTAGGATGGAATCAGAGCAACCGTATTTGTCCTCACTAAGGTTGAGGAATACTCGACTATGATCAAGACTCTAAGGGGGAACAAACATAAAAATGTTTTTATATAATTTAACAAAACTCTCTAAATCTAAGTTTAACACTCAAAGGGATTGACTTTGACAAAAGCCAAGAAGGGAGTAAGTAATTATGACAATGATCCTTACATAGAGTTGGCAAAATCTATCTTAAAGTTCTAATTGAAGGATACTCCTAACAAGGGGTAGGTATTTAGACTTAAAGAAAAGTATAATGGATATAGGTTCTAACTTAACTAAGTTAAAGGACCTAATGACTTAACCAAGTCAAGGGGAGGGGTAAAGAGCTATCTATGACAGTGAAGTCAATAAAGAGACTTTTCTTTGGAACAAGGGATAACAAGGCAACTGGATGAGAGCTAACAAGCTGCATCACTAGGGAAACTTAACAAAAGCCTAAACACACAAATGAATTCATTCAAACATGATGAAGATATAAAGTCAAGGTAACAACCAAGAAAGATAAAGGGCAAGCATGTAATAACATAAAGCAAAACAAATAGCAAGGTTACAACCAAGTATTCATCCATAGAAGTTTAAAAATAAACCAAATGGTTACAACCAAAGGTAAACGTAGATTTTATAACATCTAAAAGGCTATGAAATAAAGTTCTTACAAGACCAAACATCATAGATGACAAGTGCAGGGGATTCATGCATAAGTTAAAACATTACTTATCATGACACAGTTTAAAATTCAAGATCAACATGCATAAATCATAACAATATTTAAGGCATGTATACAAATCAAGTAGAGGTAACCAACAAAACATATTTGAAAAAGAAAGTGACATGTGTAACAATAACATGTGAGTTATGGTTAATTATGTTAAATAAGAAGGTAACAACCAACATGGGCAAGCATGAAACATGTGTAACAACAACATTTTCATTAATGGTATTCAAACAAAAATCATGCAAATAAGTTATAACTTGAATAAAACATGGTATATGAATCAATTACAGACAAATGTAGCACATTTAATCATATTCAAGACATATTGATGACAATTGATCATAGATAGGCAAGAAAAGTGACAACAGTTCAAACATGGTTTCAAACTTCACAAAGGGAAAGATAAACAAGATTCATGGTAACTTTCAAGGCAAGAAACAAGCCTAAGAATGTTATGGTTCTAACAAGACACATAAAAAGTAAGATGAGGGTGAAGGATCATGTTCAAGAGGTTACAACATCAAGAAACATATCATGGTTCCCAAAGAAGTTTCAAGGAGAACTTTTCACATTCATGCATTCACAAAGAAAAGAATAATCATGGTAAAGCAAAGAGCCAAGTGTATTCAAACATATAAACATGTCATACATTTAAAAATGATTCATACAAGATAAATCTTACAAGAAAAATCAAGTACTATGTCATGAAAGTTCATGAAAACCAAAGAAAAAAACCCTAAAAAGACCATGTCATTCAAGTGGACCAAAGTGTTTCAAAAATAACAATTATTAAATTATTTATTCACACATTGAAACTAGACATACTAATGAGTATAGTGCAAAAAGAGTGGAATCAAAATGATAAAAATCAAAGAAGTTATGCACATTTGAAAACTAGGTACAAAACTTGGGCAACTAGGGTAAAAAGACAAGGCAAGTCAAGACCAAAGATAGGAAGATTTGCAAGAAGAGACATAACTCACTCAAAACTTAACCAAATTAGGTGAAACAAAAAAGAAATTTGTGTATTTTTTTCACAAGGAATCCAATGATGGTGGTGGTTTTCTCAGATCATGCATCATGTGAAAAATTCGATAGCATCATTGAAATAGGCATGTTATGTGCATGAGCAATGTGACAGTCCAATCTACATGTTCTAAGCAGCAAGAAATGATCCAAACACAACATATGAGACATATAAAGAGTGACTACAAGCATCACACATCAATAGATAAGTTCATTCAATAGATGCACGTGTAGTGGCAAAAATGGCAAGTTTGTGCAAGAACAAAGTGACAGACAGAAATGCACTAATTCAGCATCAACCAAATGATTAAACATGTCACATATGACCTATAAATGATGTTTACAAACACCAAACACCTATGCCTAACTAGAATCAACAATTTGCATATTGAAATGACATGTAAAGTAAGCTAACAAGCCAAACCAAAGGGACAATCATGAATACTCAAGTTTGTGATCAATAAATGGTTCAAACATGACCTATAAGACATATCTAGCATGTTCAAACTCAGTGTACCTCAAAGCATAGCATGATCTTAAAAGTAGCAAGTTAGAGCACTTATCTCTTGTAGTTTTTCCAAGTCAATGCACCAAATAAGAAATCTAGTTGATGAATGATGATCCAAGCAGCTCCAAAATTCACCAAATAAGGTGTTCCAATGCTGAGAATCCTCCAAGATCATTGCCTTGTCAGAATGCATTCTTGTGAAAGAAAACACCAAGAGCTTCAAAGTGAAACTCTAGGAAATGGTGTTACAGAACTTTTGTGATGCCTTGAAAAATTCAAACAACTTATGTGGAGAGTATTTGAAGTGTTAGAATGATTGGAAAAGGTCAGAATGAGGACTTAGCTTTGAAAATGTAGAAAAGTCAAGTTTTGGTGGTTTGAGAGTTGACTTTTTGTTATAGCAGGTTTTGGATGGTTGTAATGGTTTTAACACCTCTAACACATGTTTTGTAATGTGTTATATTGATTTGTTTTATGGTTTGGTGATTGGAAATGGTTTTGGATGAGTTTATGCAAAGACAAATTTTTCTTCACAAGGAAGCAACCTCTACCTCTTGCAAGAAGATGGTGATCAGAGAAATCAGAAAGATTCAACTTAGTTTCTAGTTTATTCTGGTGTTATTTGGATGTGAGGAGTGTGTTCAATTCATAGGCAATCTTGGAGAGTGTGAGGTATGGGCAGATTGTACCAACTTGCCAAGTTTGTCCTTTTTGGAGGCAAAATGAGCAAATCCAACTTGGGATCTCTTTTCTGAGCATGAGCCACCTTCTTATGTGTTTCAAAATCATCAACAGGTTGAAAATAGTTGACATGAAGTAAATAGAGCAGCTAATGTAGTAGCTGAGGTGTGACAGAAAATGCAAAAAGTTTTTCTCTACTTGCCACTTGCATCCACTTGCTTGAATAAACAATTCAATTAATCCAAACTCTGGTTTTTGCTTGTGGTAATCCAATGTAACCTCATCTCATCAATGAAGTCTATAAACACCAGAGAATGAGTTAAACAAGTGATTAAAAGAGGTTTGAGTGGTTTATGCATCAAAATGCAAGTGCTGAACTTGGTTTTGTGACATGGAAACCCCCTAACTTGCTCTCTTTGATTCTCCCTAACCACAAAGGATGTGAAAATTCTATTATACTTTTTAAAAAGCCCCAAATATGATCTACAATGTTCATGTTTGGCCAAAGTTCAGATTCCAAAGGGAACTAGGTCAAAAGTCTTCATGAAGTTAGCTGCAAAACTTGACTTACAAGCCAAGAAATAAGAAATTTTTCTAAGTGTGGAAATCCTTCACAACTTGATGAGCTCATAACTCAAAATCTATGTGTTTTTGGACATCAATCCTCTAGGAAATTTTTATAGGACTTCTCAAGAGCTCTCCAACTAGCTTTAGACCACTCAATTTGGATGTGTGGTTTGAAAGCTATGATCAATCCAAATTAGCTTGCAATTAAGGTTTTCATAAACCCTAATTTCTTGATTCACAAGTTATCCATCAATTCTTGATTAAATCTTTACAAAAATCACTATTTAGACATAAAATGATGTTGGAAACCTCGATTGCTTCAATTTGGGGTCAAAACCCTAAAAGTCAAAGAGTTGACTTTCCAGAACGACGAACCGAACAGTTGAAATCTTCAGGATCGATCCTTAGTGTTCTTGGGTTTCTTGAACCTTTAATACTTATTGATGGGAGTTCAATAAGTCATAGAAACATCACGGACCATGGTTCAAGCTTTGAAAACCCATTTAGACCAAAAGTCAAACTATAGTTGACTTTTTCAACTAGAAACCCTAATCAGGGTTTTGCACAACACTGCTCCAATTCTCTTGGTGACAACCTGAAATATCACTAGTTCTTGGTAAGATATGAACCTCTTGATGATGTGAAGGCTGGATATGTAGAAGATCAATCCAAAACCTTGACTGATCAGTCCACAAGATTCTTGATTTTGACAATGTGAAAGCCTAATTCATCTACATCTTGACAAAGACAATCTTGACAGAGGTTAGGGTTAGATAACATATGCTTGATGCTTCTAGAATGATAATGGAATTTAGGGGTCAAAATTTGGAGTATGACACTGTTACTCGTTTATCTTTTTTGAATCAGTCTTGTTTCTTCTATATGGATGATTTCTTGGTAGAAATCTACGGTGACAGTCAAACCACGAACTTTTCCCCCCTTTTTCCAACGTAAACACCTTGGTGTTCCCCATGCAATGCGGACATCCCATTTTTCCATGCGTACCCCATCTTGACAACATGCCATATGTTAGAAAGTTATTAATAGTCCAAATCAAGGCAGCTCACATAGTAAAGATTTGTTTACTTGATATATCATAAGTCTATTCAACAATCCACAACCTCTTCAAATCATCAATTAAAGATTGTAAGTACAAATAAATTCCGACTTTTGGACTCGATGGTCCTGGAATGATGCAAGTCAAAAACATGTATGGTTTTGTCATACACATCTCAGAAGGGAGGTTGTAAGAGGTTATAATAACTGGCCAACAAGAATACCCACTTCCAGACACTTGGACATATGGAGCAAAACCATTAGAGCATAATCCAATCCCCGCATTTCTAGGTTCTGCAGCAAAATCAGTATGTATGTGATCAAAGTGCTTCCATGCCTCGCCATCATATAGATGTCGCATAGTGCTTGAACTTATTTTGTTTGTATGATGCCATGTCATTTGACTTGCACTGTGCATTGAAGCAAACATTCTTTTCAACCTTGATATTATCGAAAGATAAAACATGGACTTCACTGCTACACGTTTTTGCTTACGATCAATGGCTTTACTACGAACTTTATATCTTGGACTCTTACAAAACTTACATTCCTCCAACGCTTCATCATTAGTACCAAACTCATTGTCATAAAACATCATGCAACCACTAATGCAACATTCAATCTTTCTTACTTTTAAACCCAACTTCGACACCAACCTCTTTGCATCATAAAAACTTGTAGGCAAGTTGTCTTTCGTAGGAGTCGAATCGAGCATCATTTTTACGAATAATTCCAAACACTGATCAGGAATATTCCAATTTGATTTGGCAACCAATAATCTCACACACATTGATAACTTTGAGTCTGACGACCCATTAAACAACGACATATTCATCTCATTCAACAAATGATAAAATGTTTGCTTTCTCATTCGACAACTCTTCCCCATCAAAATCTTCAGGTTCGTCATAGGTCACGTTCACGCCAAAAGCATCGCCCACCATCTCACTGATCAGATTAAAGTTTTCCCTATGTTACATTGGTGATTGACTACTTGAAGCATGCGCGTATTACTGGTCTCTGGTACGCTACTCAGCAGTTCTTCTCCATTATATATCCAAACTCAATAATTTTCAATGAAACCCCTTCTCTTCAAATGTCGTTCTACTTCCTCTGGGTCACTAATTATAGATCTGCATCCACATTTAAGTCAAGGACATCTAACTCCTCCTTCGCTCCGGCAGCATTCCTGATAAAATGTGATAAACCCTTTAACTCCCTCCTCAAAATTTGGTTTAAGTCTGCGTCTTCCTGGATACAACCTATCGCACATCCAACTACAATAGTACTTATAATACTCCATACTGCACATTTATACAATCATTGTCTTTTTAATTACAAATGTGATTTTAATATCAATTTCTAAATTTTTTATAAATATTAAATACAAGTATTAACCAACTAATTATTATTCTTTAACATAAACTTATATTAACCAAAAATTACTTTTAATATAAACAAACTTTCTATTTTAACTACACATTTAATAAACATATAATATAAAATATAATGCATATAATTAGTAAGCAAAACATAACATATAAAATATACATATAACATGATATATATATATATATATATATATATATATATATATATATATATATATATATATATATATATATATATATATATATATATATATATATATATATATATATATATATATATATATATATATATATATATATATATATATATATATATATATATATATATATATATATATATATATATATATATATATATATATATATATATATATATATATATATATATATATATATATATATATATATATATATATATATATATATATATATATATATATATATATATATATATATATATATATATATATATATATATATATATATATATATATATAATACACGCATAACATATAATTCAACATATTACATAATTAATATAACATATTGTTTTAATTTGTTTTAACTATTAAATATATTATATATACTAAATATACTATTAAACAATAACTATTAAAAATTTAAACTATTTAATATATATTCTTCTTAAATATACTATTAAACATATACTATCAAAAATTTATTCTATATATACTATTAAACATATACTATTTTTAATATATATAAATTTATACTATATATAGAAATCTGTTTTTAATAACAAAAAAATTATATAATAAACAAAAATATAACAAAAATATTTTTTTAAAGACAAATAATAATAATATAAATATAATTTTGTTTCTAATGTAAAGATAACCAAATAAAAATAAAACATTAAAAATAATATATTTGGTTTTTAATATTCTGTTTTAAAAAATATATATAAATAAATTTAAAAATATAATTTTAAATATTCTGTTTTAATATATATAAATAAAAAATAAATATAATTTTAAATATTCTGTTATAATATTTTGTTTTAATATATATAAATAAAACATATATATATATATATATATATATATATATATATATATATATATATATATATATATATATATATATATATATATATATATATATATATATATATATATATATATATATATATATATATATATATATATATATATATATATATATATATATATATATATATATATATATATATATATATATATATATATATATATATATATATATATATATATATATATATAAACATAATATCATTTTAATATTATGTTTTAATATTCTGTTTAAAAAACATAAATATTCACAAAAAATTAATATTATGTTTTAAAAAATATATAAAAATAAAATTAAACATTAAAAATCATAACTTTATATATATTTCTATATTAATATATATAATCTGTTTTAAAAATATAAAAATAAAATAAATACAGAAAAAATATTTCTATATTAATATTTCTAAATTATTTAAACAGAAAAAATATGAAAAATATTAATGTAATAATTTTATATAAAAAATAAAAAAAGAATATTAATAAATTATTTATTTTTTATTTCAGAATATAAATATAAAAAATATTAAGTTAATAATTTAAATAGAAAAAATTAATTCACAAAATATTTTACAACAACAAAAATAAAATTAAACATCTACCAACAATTCAAAATTAATAAATCAAACTAAAATAAAAAATAAAATAGAAAAAATACCTCTTCTTCAAACTCCTTCAATCTTCTAGTAAAATATCTTCCTCAATCTCCTTCTTACTTTCTTTTCTCAATAACATTGATAATTTGACCTAAAAAAAACAAATATTAAACTCATATAAAAATGCATTTTAAATAATAATCATATTAAGTGAAAACATATATTACCTGGTTAAGAAAAATGAAGAGTAGAAAAATAAAGAAACCAAGAAGAAGAAGAAACAAAGAAGATGAAAAAATATACTGTGTAGGTAACAAGAAGAAGAAACCAGGAAAGAGAAAGAAGAAAATAGTAATAAATTATTGTGGTCTAGGAAGTTGGGCACACATGTGATAAATAAAATCCCAGCGACGTGAATTTCATGTCGCAACCTACAACGGCTGAATTTTAAAAATTCACATTAATCACGTAGCGACATGATTATCACTTTGCAACTTTGCCACGTGCTATTCACGTCGCAAAAGTTCCAACGATCATATTGATTTGTCAGTCAACCTGCAGCACAGTCACCCATCACTTATGCGTCAGATTTTTTTCCCTCCTAAATGGTTGCGACGTGATATTCACGTCACAACAAAAATTTTGAAATTTTCTACCTTCACGCTTCAGTAGATCTGACCTTTCAATTGTTTTTTTAATTTAAATGTTGCGACATGATTTTCACGTCACAAAGGTTTTTTTTTTTAAATCTGACAAACCATGTGCTACCTTTATCTCTTATTATTTTAATATTATAAATGTTACTGACATGAAAATCACATCGCAATTGTCCATAGTTTGCCACGTGATTTTCACTTCACTAAATCACGTGGCTGAACACAACTTTTCTTGTAGTGAATTACTGTAATGCTTATAATTTATAATCCCTAGTGCAGAAATGATTTTTTACATCGGGTCAAAAGCACATTTTACATCGGGTCTCGGTCCGATGTAAAGCAAAACGATGTAGTAAGTCAAAGATATTTTACATCGGGCCGTAGAACAATGTAAAAAATATATCTATTACATCGCTTGACAGGTAAGACTGATGTGAATATGAATTTATTATTTGTTTTTTATATAAAAACATTTTTTACATCGGTTGGTATTTGATCTGACCTGATCAGAAGGGAATCACGGGCTGGCCACACGCTGTTGGACTGCTACCTGTTCACCGTTGATGAAGAGGAGAAAGGGGGGTGTACCTGCAAAACACTCTGATGCCAAAGTAAGGAGTTGGGCAGAGTGAGAGCAAAGCACAGGAAGTGGGTAAGAAGTGAATTACCTGACCCTCTTGTGAAAGAGGGTATTTATAGAGAGACCTCAGCGCTGGGCCAACAGTCACTTGTGTTGGGCTAGATTGTCAGGCCCAACTCAGGTGACTGCTAGGGCTTACGTGGCATAGTGAAGACCAGAACGTGGTCTTCGCCCTAGTCCAACTGTCCCTTGATCTCAGGAAAGTGGATTTGACCTGCTCTTTCGGAGGGGGGCAGTTGGTTGGTGACGTGTCCCCGCGGAGGGGAGCACGTAGGCTTGGCACGTTGTTCTCCCCGCGGAGGGGAAAGTTCCTGCCCGCGGAGGGTAAGGTTCGCTGAACGGGGAGCCTTAAGCCTGACGTGGGGGTAGGCCTTCCCCCCGAGGAGGCTTCTCTGGCTTGACGGGGACCTCGTGCTTGGACAGCATAGGGCCTGGTGGGCCATTACTGGACTGGGCCCGCTCGGACAACATAAGGCCTGGTGGGCCATTACTGGACTGGGCCCGCTCGGACAGCCCCTGGCCCAGGCCAAAACAGTATTCATAACTGATATAAAATGTGTCATAGGTGAGCTTTTACATCGGTTGGTATTCAGAACAGATGTAAAAGGTGTGTCATAGGTGAGCTTTTATATCGGTTGTTCAGAAGAACCGATGTAAAAGGTGTCGTACATGTGTTTTTTTACATCGATTGCCTTTTTGGCCCGATGTAAAAGGTGTGCTACGTGTTTTCAAAAATTATGTTTTTACATCGGTTTTTAGGCGCAACCAATGTAAAATGTAGGTTGTTTTTCTTTAAAATTTTGACTAATTTTTATCCGAATTGATGTGGAATCCCTGTAGTTTTTTTGGTACCTAATTTTTCATATTTTTCCAACATCACACATACCACATTTTAGTCCCTATTTAGCATGCAATTTAATTTTCGTATTTTTTCAAGTAACCATTTAGTTTCATTGCACCAAATAGTTAGGATGCACATATTCTTCAACATGAACAAATTGATTTACAAAAGTCATAAACTAGTATACACACAAGTGTGCAAAATTATATGTATTTTTACACGGTGGACTAATACAACAATAAAACCAGTGAAAACAAACAAAAATATTCAACCATTTATAAGTCCTTTACCAAACTTGAATACCAACGTGCAATCCACAAGAAATGAGTTGTAGCTAGCTTCGATAGACAACACCAAAATCACATTTGCTAACAATAAATAATAATACCAATAAACATCAGCAGACAATACGAAAGTCAAGAAACTCAATTCAGATATATATAGACAATTCTATATAACTCACCATATAAAGCTTAATTTTTATATAACTCAAAGAAACATTTTGCCCAACAAAGTCGCAAATCATACAAATCATCTTGTGTTAATTCTATTGGGTCATCAAATACCTACAATACGTAAATAACAACATAAAGTTA